TATGAAATGGTGCGATGTTATTTATTAAGTGGCGAAAGTTTGAACGGAGCTCAAAGACTGTACGAAGCGGAAAGCCTCCCTCGCCTTCGCAACCAAGGTGTAGTGAATCCTTCGATACCGAACCGTGCCACGATTCTCGCTGCCAATCAAAGGCTGTTAGATCATGGCCAGTTCACTTCTCCTTCACATGCACAAGGGCGTGGAAGGCAAAGACTGCCAGTAGAGATCGAGGAAGAAATCTTCGATTTTTTCGAAAGAAACCCTCGTGCAAGTACTCGAGATGCAAGCGAGACGCTTCGAGGTCAGCCAGTACGCCGTCTGGAAGCTGCTCAACACCGCAGGGTTGCACCCTTACCACTTCCAAAAGGTGCAAGCATTAAGTGATGCAGATGCTGCGCCCCGCTGAGCCTTCTGCGAGTGGCTAATTGCGCACCCGACGGCCGTTATAATGTGGACCGATGAGGCTTTGTTTACGCGTGTCGGATTATACAATCAGCACAACGAACACTGGTGGTCATTCCGAAACCCACACATGATAAGGGAAACCTATCATCAAGTGCGTTTTAGTGCCAACGTGTGGGCCGGTATCGTAGGCAATAAAGTACTTGGGCCGTATTTTATCGAGGGACGCTTGACCGGTGGCACGTATCTGGATATGTTGCGTACGGTGATCACGGACTTTGTGGACGAGGTGCCCCTCGTGCACCTGCGCGACTTTTATTTCCAACAAGACGGTGCCCCGCCTCACTACGCCGCCGCGGTGCGCGAATACCTCGGCGCTGAGCACGGCGACCGCTGGATCGGCCGCGGAGGCCCCGTCCCGTGGCCAGCGCGCTCACCGGACCTGACTCCATGTGACTTTTTTTTGTGGGGTGAAATTAAAAGACGTGTGTATGTGGAAGAGGCCCAAAGCCTAGACGAAGCCTAGACAATGTGCAGAAACGTGCTAGACTCTGTTTAGAGAGAAATGGTTTGCATTTTGAACAATTGCTAAAATACACTTAGTTATTAGGATTTTAATCTTTTTTTTTTGTTTTATTGTAGGCAAGTTGAATTTCATTGATTTTAATTATTGTACATTCTAAGTTGATTCAAATTTTTTAAACACGCCTTATTGCAAAAGGTGCTGCCTACCTACCTACTTTGTAAAATTGCCTTCTGAGTAATTTAAACCTACCTACTACCTAGCTAATTTAAACGTTAACGAGTAACCTAAACTACCTTATCACTATGAAATTTAGGTAGGTACAATAATGCCTTTTGCGATCTGACAGTCCTAAGCCCGTTAAAGTATGAAGGAAAAATTTGCAACTTATGGATGTTATTATTTGTTATCAATCAAATGGCGGGGCGGGGGGCGGAAGCGCAATGCGCGGTGACCATTTACGTCAGGATTTTTTTGGATAATTTTGTAATGCCTTATCTCAATATTTTAGTACTGAATGATACTAAAAGAAAAAATACGTATATAATTATTTTCATTGCAGATCATAATATGAAATTTTGGATAGTGTTTAAAAAATCTTCCTGTATACATATTACATTTTTCTTAGTTAGTAGTATATAAGTCACTTGAGTTGTACTCTATCACATTGGCTATGCATAGCTGTAAGGGTAGATGTAAAGTTATAAATAAATAAATAAATAAATAAATAAATAAATAAATAAATAAATAAATAAATAAATAAATAAATAAATAAATAAATAAATAAATATCATCAATACCTATTTAGAAATTTCAATCAATGTGTTGCCATCTAGCGATTAATTGCTGAACGACGACGGATAGGAGTTATTAATTTAGTTCTCCAAACAAGAGGCAACCATATTGCAGGGGTATAAGCTTTACTTTCGTTTCTTGTACATACAAAATATTTCGATAAACAGAAAATTGATTTTTTTTTAAATAAGGCTTTCTGATGATATGAAATACCAACACGGATAATATTTTTGATGGGGCTATCATTTTCACAATCCAAAACAGCACAATAAGGCATTTTTCTAGGATTTTAGAGAATTTGCACGCAAGAATGGCACAACCATACCATACAAAGCGAAAATGGCGAACTGAGCTGAGATATGTCTTTCGAGACCTATAGTTGGCACGCGTTAAACGCTAACTATCCACTTCTACTGTACTTTGTTGTACTTTATTGTTCTGTGTGTTAGCAAATTCTCAAGTGAAGACTTGGGTAAGTAAGGTAGCATTTAAGGCATAAAATGAAACAGCTTAATACAATTCACTTTCAATCATTTATTTCCTTTTAATCAAATAATATACATGATAGTTCGTTACTAAATTACATAATAAAAGAAGACAGTTAGTACATACCTGTATAAATGAACTACCTTTATATACGGCACCCATAGTATCCACAATATTACCTCTGGCTAGGAAATTCGAACACAGACTGCATAAATTTTCTATTGTGACCATACCACCAAGCTTCGCCCTACCACCGTTTTGGTGGGTTAATAGACTGTGATTTCGTTGGTTAACGCTTTTGATAGACCGATGCTTGATTGATTGGCATTTCTTTTAGAAAGGAATTTAGATACTTTTAAAAGTTATTATAGCTAAACTAAGTTAAGAAATGATATCAGGCAGGCATTAATTTAGACGTACTTTTTTAAAGAAATATAATTAATATGAAAAACCTTTCAATTATAATAATAAATTCGAATCGATTACGTGCTTAAGGTATGACAATAATCGATACAAGTTCTAATTTGTATTCGTTACGCTAACATGTGTGTTCGCTGTATAGAGAAACGGCAGGACGCTTGCCTGTAAGATAAGTTAGTCGAATTTCTTATTTCCTTTTAAAATTCACTAGATTCAATTTAAGATTCTTCAATAACAAGTTAAATTTACATTGGTGAGTGTATTTTTACAAGACGTACAAATAGCAACAGATAAAACACATCTTGCACTAAGTGGGATTATCATAATTATTTATTTATTAAGAGCTATAAAACGCGAATATTACGATATAGTACAACTGAATACTATGACGTTATGAACTTGGATGATGGATGAAAATGAAGGACGTAACACGATATTTGACTAAGATTTAATTATTTAACATATTATAAAGCAATGCGTGTGCGCACTATCGGCGATCGTTGAAGCGAATTTCTAAACTTGAATAAAAAGTGGTGGGGCGCTCATTGGACGCCCGTCTCCCGCGGCGGCGATGCCTCACTCTTCGGTGGCCTGGTGACGTTGATGCTGGATTCTCGACAACAACACAAATAGAAACCAGCGAGTTAAAGGTCTCTGATTCTACGAACACATACCCACAAATCTAAAGAGTGGTCTAAGTGATGAAACATTTTATACCCGACTGAACGAGTTTTGTTGGATTTTTTGTTTCACGTTATAGAGGAATTTTATTAGAAGAAATTGTGTTTTTATTTTTCTCAAACATGGTCGGAAATGTTTGTATTATTTTCACAAAACGAAACGGAAGTTTGTCATTTACGGACCGTGCGAATTCTTCCCGTCCAAGTCCAGAAAAGTAAGTATGAAGATCCATTACCGTCCGCTGCTATAAACTTTTAAATCTGCCTATTAACAATAAACTATGTAAACAGACAAAACAAAAACTCATATCTAGCCAACTGCCCAGCGTTACTAATTAATTTATTATTTTAATAAATTAATTAATATAATTATGACTACTAAAAATGAAACAAAAAAGAAAAAAAAAACGGTAAATAATTTTTCCTATTTTTTCATTTCTTTTTTATTTTCATCGTCAAAATGAGTTCTAGTGAGAAGAGCTCTAACAAAAATACTTTAGTATTTAATTATTTAATTATTTTTACTTTTTCTATTATAAATCTTTCTCTTTTTAATCTTTTATTATTTCCTCACACTGTTTGGGAAAAACACTATAATATGCCTTGGCGGGAAAGGGAATTGATTGACTCGTATTAATAAAATAACTCATACTCGTCCAGCAAACCCGTACTTCCCGGCTTCTGCAATAATCTACTATTTATTTGACGTCGCCGTCGTTGTATTTCGAAAATACTTTGTTTTTTTACTTGTTTTGCTACTTTGGAGTGCAAAAATGATAGTCACACACTTGGATATATATGTATATATATTATCCAAGTGTGGTGTTTCCTACCATATTTAAGTGTTATTTTATTTCATTTTAATACATTTTCATTTTTCTGTTTATCATAATAATTTTTTTGTTATAAGAAACAAAAGTAATCCTTACGAAACGTCGAATCTTTTTTGGAGAACTAACTAGACATCTTGAATTCGTCGTCATTCAACTATTGACCGCTAGATGACAGCACATTGATCAAAACTTCAATATGAAATCAAAACGGAAGTATTTTTTTAGAACATCAAGTGACGGGACGAACAAGTCGTGCGCGTGATGGTAAGCTACACGCCTGTCCATAACAGTTACAGTGCCACTCAGAGCTTTAAATTGCAAAGATCTTAGGGGCACTACCACCGCGCCCGTCACCCTGAGACATAAATTGACAAGCCCCATGTGCCTGTAATTTTACCAGTACCCCTACCCTTCAAAACCGGAACACAGTAATGCTGACATTACTGCTTGGTGGCAGAAATAGGTAAGGTGGCCATACTACCCTGGACGAACTCTATCACAGGGAGCTCTACTGTTACTACTACTTGCAAATAATAGCTATAGAACTTTCACCGATATACCATCAGGGTAAGGGTTGTCACCTCTTTTTAAATTAGAAACTACGACCAATAATTATCAAGATTACATAGTATTTAAAATTATGATAGTGTAACTTTTGGCCACAGCCGTTCTGATAGTAAGTTTTTTTCCGTAAGTGGTACTTGTATTATTTTGTTTTATATTTATTATTGCTGTTTATATTAGTAGCGATCATTATTATAACTTGACATTGTATTTTAAATAGTATATATTTGTCATATGAAATAAATGATTGTATTGTATTATGTCAATGAACATAATTGAAAATAAACTATGACTCACTTTGGCGACTTCGTAATGTCCACACGCCATGGTGTACTGCATCCAGGCGATAAGCTGGCCAAGCTTCGCCGCTTGCGCGATATGCTGTGTCATATAGCTAAGGCAGAGTGTCACTAAATCCTAGAAATAAAGGACATATATGTAAACAAAAGGTTTTTGTAGTACGTCAAGGTTTTCTCTGGCCATTATTAAAGGAGAAAGCTTTTCAGACATTCTTTTTTCGGAATTCCGAAGAACTACTAAAGATGGATGGTAACTTTGCTACTCTCAATTAATTGCATGCGCACACACAAGCGCAATTATTTCGCACGACTTAACCTTCACTGGCTTCGCGGAGTTACAAAGTAATTCACTTCTATTTCTATTAATATTATTATTTCTTATTTCTAGTTTCAGAGTAATGCCTGAATGTATTATTTCAAATAACTGATTATAGCTTTTTTAATAAATAAAAAAGATGTTTGTTTATACAGGGTGACTGGTTGAACGAAATAAATATTTAAAGAGATGAATGAGTAGCTGATACCCATCCCGAATATGTAAAAATAACACGAGTATGTAAAAAAAAAATATTAAACATTTTTATTTAAAGAAAATACTGGCTCTAACATTTTGTATTACTCTGCGCGTGACACCGCGTTCGTCAAAACAAAATCTTCTGCGCATGTGCATTAGACACCCCCGCCACTACTCGTTGAAGGCCGCTTGCGCCGGGTACCCCAATCCCGCCCGCGCGTCCCGCCGTCCGCCGGGTTAGTTCGTTTACGCCCTTCTGTAAGTCAGGACGTTGTGATTTTGCGATTAAACGCACGCGCCGCCGCCGCCGCGCCGATCTTTGTTTTCCGTGATACATCGGTCTATTCAACTGTGTAATTCCGTGGAGTGCAGTGACACATAACGATGCCTTATCACTACACAAATGAGGAGTATTGGGACATGATACGGTGTTATGTTATGGCAAATGATGTAGTTAGTGGTGCTAGGGACCTGTACCGTGAAATGTTCCCTAATCGGCGAGTTCCATCCTACACTTTAATGTTAGGACTCAATTTTCGTTTGAGGACTTTTGGGCAGTTCACTGTGCCCTGGCATGCTCAAGGGCGAGGAAGGGATCCGTATCCAGTGGACCTACAAGAAGCGATTTTTGAATACTTTGAGCATGACCCACGCCGGAGTACTCGAAATGCAGCAAGACGATTCGGAGTGTCACAATGGACAGTGTGGAAACTCTTACACAGAGACGGTCTTCACCCGTACATTGTTAAGATTGCTGTAACTTTGTAAATTTAATCAAAATTAATTATTGTAAACAGGTATGATTCCATTTTTTAAATACGCCAAAAATACCAAACCATGCTCATACCTACTAGCTTAGTTTGTGTTTTACAACTGCCTAAAATATTGTGTACTTTAAAAAATAATTTATCGTAGTTTAATTGGTATTTTTGCCTGTCCTAAGCCAAAATCAAAGTATGAAGGGAAAATGGAATTATTTTTAAAACATTTTAAGCGAGAGAGGCTTGACACGCGCTCGTAGCGCGGGGCGCGGCGCGGCGACGGGCGGTTCATTTTCCTAACAATCAGCTGTTCGTAGAGTAGCTCAAACGAACAGAGTATTAGCATTTGTAAAATGGTACGATATATTTTTTTTATAATGTTTTGAGGCGATATTTTTACATATTCGGGGTGTGTATCAGCTACTCATTCGCCACTTTAAATATTTATTTCGTTCAACCAGTCACCCTGTATATAGTCGGTGTTTTATAGAAAGGGCGATTACCGATAAATTTTTCAGAGAAGTACGATTCAGGTTTTCAAGACTGTTTTAAAATATTTGCGTCCTGTTTTAAATTCAGTTTTTAAAACTTAAACGTGAAACACACAGAGAGCGGGTGCGGATCGGGCGTGTTTCGGGTCGGGACCGCGACAGGTCTAATTCCGTGTATTTATAGGACGACAACACATATACACCCATAGCGGACGCGAGACGGATGCACGCGCCCGCGCTCAGTGTGCGTCCGTCCCGACCCGGCCCAAGCCCCACCCGCACCCGGTCTCCGTGTGTTTCACGCTAACCTGTATAGATATCGAGTTCTTAAGTTTTCGCGATTGTTACACATAGGAAATGATACTGTTATTTCGGATAAAAAACGCGTTTATTTGTTTTTTCAAACAAACGCCGCTCCGGGCCGGGAACCAGTTTCATATCCAATGTATGGCAACTGCCAAAAACAAAATGAAAAAAAAAAAGAACCCGATAACTGTCTTCAAATATTCTAAAGATAATTCAATTCAACAATTTCACATATGATCAAATTTGAAACTTACCCTAACATTGTACTTGTCAGCTAGCGATAGAACTGGCAATACTGTCTGATGCGATATCCGAATCTGGCCTGTGTAGAAGTACCTGAAGTGAAAACATTTAGAGATACGTTGAAAAACGACTTATGGAACTGAAGGGAATGCTCTGCAGTACGTGGATTCCTTTTGAACTTAAATGATTTGAAAAACTCAGTCGGAGCTGTCCTTGTTAAGTTGACAAAAATATACCTTGTATTATTATTAGGGTTGCTTCATTCAGGGCCTATGCATCCCCTTGTCACTGCGACCATTGACTGATCTATTGTAATCACCACTAATTACAGTGCAGAGCCAAGGCCGACAGCATTAAAGAAATGAAGGACTTTCCTGGCTCTGACAGATTTAATGTCCTCTGGTTGTGGCATGTGCCTTCCCAGTATGGAACTTCGTACGCCCATCAAGAGGTAGCATTGGGTGAGTAGATGAACAGAAGTCTTATCCGCTTTGTAATAATAATAACAATAATAATAATAATAATATTTAATAATTATAACAATCTAGTGGAGTAATTTCACATAAAATAATTGAATATCAATTCAATATAAATTTAAATACAGTAAATAGTGACATCTCTAGCCGGGGCTGGTAGCTGTAAAGGTATCTAACTGGGTGACGAAATACTTTCATAGTATTCTCATAGATAGCGCTACGGCTAAAAAGTCGTTGAAAAACCAAAAACAAAGATACGACAATAAGCACATAGAAAAATTCGTGAAGTCCACTGGTTCGTTCCGTGGCTTAGTTGGTACAGCGTATGCTAGAAGACGTCGGTTCGAATCCGGCCGGATCGAAGGAATTTTTTCTAAGTGTTCGATCTTTGTATTAATGCTTATAAAATACTTTTAATTTGAAAAGTAAGTTGCTGACTAAACAAGATAAAAATTAGTAAGGCAACATCGATTGTTAATTATTAAATGAATATTCATTAATTCAACTTTCTTTACAACTACTAGGTTTTAGCAGAACGCCAAATATTACCATAATTAATTGTAAATTACAATGGCCAGTTTTCAAGAAAATGAGCAAATTCAAAGTCAGGGCATAAAATATAAGTCCTGAGTAACACTCACTTCAAGAAGTGTGGGAACACAGACGCAGCTGTAGGCGTCTCCTGCAGCACGATGCGGCTCTCGCGCCATTCACTCCACTCACGGTTCATCAACATCACCTGAAGCATTTAATGGCACACATATTTATTCATTTATTGCATTGTCACACTTATATTATATTAAGTACAGTGCCTTGAAATGACCATATGGTACTTACTCATTATAAAAGTAATAAAATAAAATTGTGATCATATTAAATAAATCATTACAATTATACATGCATAAGATAAACTGAGAAGAATATCGGAAATATCTAAAATTAATTACATAATAAATTATATTTTGTCATTAAAAACTTATGTTAACATTATAATAACTTTCATTGATGAGGAATTCTTTTAAATGTTTGGAAAAAAATGTAATTCTTGAATTTTTTATGTAAATTGGTATGTGATTGTAAATTTTAGTTACCATAACTTACTGTCCAGAACAAACTAATTTCAATTCAGAAAATCGTACATGTAGTTGATGTAGGTTTCTGTTGTTACGTTTAATTTATATTTTTGGAGTAAATAAATAATAATAAAATCGTTTATTTATCTCTACACATCAATAAGTAAATATAAAAATATAAAGCTAGTGTTGTGAGGTAAAAAGGTCTGTAGCTCAGCACAATGGCGGAGTGTTTCACAACGCCGCTGATATTCTGCTGCAGCCTGCCATGTTCATAAAAAGAAAAGAAAAAGAACTAACACACATTATCATTCTAGTTCTAAGATTTCAAGCCGATTATTAGATATTTACCACACACATGAGTTGTTATATACATTTTTCATTACTATTACACACAGAGCACTATCCCCACACAACTACACTACAATGCCTACCTCCATGGTTTGCCTGGACAATAACCAATTAAAACATTTCTTATGGAAACTATGTAATGACTAAATATGACAGTCTTGCACAGACGGGGGAAGACCATTCCACACCTTGGAAGCGGCGTATTTAAAACAACCCGAAGTCCCGATCAAAGTATAGACAGGTAACTTATAAATACGACCCCGACCTCGCAAAAAAGAAAGACTGCTTTTCGGTATCAGTTTTTCAAAGAGGTAAATCGGAACCTTAAACTTATGTAAGGATCGGCTAATTTCAGTTAGAATTAGCCATATTAAGCTGTTTGTTATCAACAAGATATGGTGAAATATGTTCCCTTTTATGTGTTCTAAAACTGTAATGCATACAAGAATTTTGCACTCTTTGAATAGCCTTACCAGTCTTAATATACAGACGAGGGCAACAATGACGTCACAGTACTGCACATGAGGTAACGCCAGTGCATTACATAATTGCAACTGTATTTTTGGACTTAAACAACGTCCCAAATTATATAGGAACCTAAGAACGCCAAAACAACAACCTATTTTCTGGACAACATGTCGTTAGAATCTAAGCTCTTCATCCATGAGAAGACTGAGAGTGCAAACACAATCCTGCCTTGGAATTAAAGTACCCTTAATAGTTATCACAGGATCCATATCCTTAATTAATTTGATTTGTCTATACCTACCAAAAACGATAAAAACACTTCCCTGGATTCAGAATGAGGCCATGACAATCAGACCAGTCGGCCACTGAATCCAAATCTGAACATATTTTGGTAACAGTTGCCATAACGTCATTAGGATCTGGTGGAATGTGCATGTCCAACTGGGTATCATCAGCATACAAATGGTAATGGCAATGGGTGATAGCAGATGGCAAGTTACTCGTAAATAAGGAAAAGAGTATAGGTCCTAGTACGAAGCCCTGAATCACACCTCATCTCAAGTTAAGTGGTCTAGATTTCCTAAGACTGCCTCTACTGTCAGAACACAAACCCATATGGCTACAATTGGTAAAGAAATTGATGAATCATTTACATACTGCGATCGAAAAACCAATGGATTTAATTTTATTATTACTCTATTCTAACTTCGTAGGGACACAATTCAAAGCTCGGGTGTAGTCCAGTAGTACCGGAATAGTACCCTTTCCATAGTCAGCAACAGTCAAGACGTCATCAGTAATATGCATCAACGCAGATGTAGTGCACATGACTGCATCCGCAGTATTATTGAGTTATCTTCTAAATACTACAGTTTCTTTTTCTAATCTACAGGCCTAGTCTTCTAGTAATTAGTGGTAACCACTGTAGATTACGTATAAGGGCAGTAAATTAGTCAAATCCATTTCATTTTCGTACCTGAAACACCTCACTGCTAGCACACAGTATAAGCCGGTGTGCAGGGTAACCAACTCCCCCAACTTCCAGTGTAAGGTCACTCATCAATTGCTCCGCATATAGATTAGCTATCTTCAGCAACACACTTTTAGAGTTGTCTACCTGCAAGTTAGATGAACAATTTAAAAGAGAAATTTACATAACTAATTAAATCAGATATAACTTAACAGCTTCCTACAAGGTTCTTAACCCTAAACTTAAAACCCTTAACCCTTAAAGTTTAGTTGGTTATAGGCCACCATCAAGCTACATCAAATCTAGGCTAGTTTTGGTTGTTGAAGTTGACTATACAACTTTCCCATGCTGTTACCAGTTGTGTCCATCTCTTGTCACTGTATTGTAGGATGTGTCCGGCCCACTTCCATTTTGATTTTAGGCCATGTTTTAATGTATCTGCCACTTTAGTTTTCCATCTTAGTTGTTGACTTAATTCTTACTTCGTTTAGCTCATGCAAATAACGTTATAAAGCAAAAAAGAGAGCTTAATTGCTTATTCTTTTGCATAAAACTACACACTGGACTGTTTACAAAATTATGTAAACAAAAAAAAAACCTACAAATCCCCAGATATAGAACTGGCTTATTAAACCTTGATCTAAAGACGGAGTGTAATATAGAAGAGAACCGTGCGAAGCAATGAAAACATAAACGACAAAGCAATAATACAAATTAAATGTAAACCAAAATATCGTCATTAAAAATTTATCCATACAGTTTAACAGGATAAAGGATGAATGATTTCAAAACCTGTTACTATTTTCATTTGAAAAATAGACTGAGCAAAGGGTTTCCCTTTGGTAAATCACCTGAAAATAATTGCTGATAACAAATATTAGCATATTACTGTTATCGTACCTCAAGATCATCGCTGTTCCCATCGTCTCCAGACTTGTCCGTGCCCGACACTTGTCGGTCCACCGTCAGGTAACTCATGGTGAATCAATTTACTAAAACTTTCATCGGAAAAAACTGTTTTCAATTAATTCCCCAAATAAATAAAAAATATTCCACTAACATTTTATCCACACAAGAATTGTCAAATTGCGCTTTTAGGGTACAATCTCCGTGATATTTATTTATTACAAGTAAGTAGGCGCTATACGCTATACAACTTCTTCAATTATTTTCTCGTATGTAACTCATGCACAAAGCAAAAGTAAGCGTAATTTGTGTTCGTATTATGTAGAGTTGATTTTACTGAATATTGTCGATATCAATATCAATATCTCAGATTAAAAAACATGTTTTGTAATCTGAGATCAATATTATTCTAATTTTCTTCTTCAGGGAAGTGCACATCAAGCTTAAAACTTTGAACCGTTTTTATCTCAAACAGGAGAAAATCGAATTTAAGTGTATAGTTTGCCGTGCTTTTGATTCTATATTTTTATATTTAATGTATGCATATACATATGTACAGGCCGCACATGTTTTTGTTTAAGGAAACAATTTTAGGCTATAGTCCGTACACGTTACCAAAATAGACGTGTTGGCTTAGAATAATAACGCATAGAATGATAGTTTCATATCAAACGAACTGTCACAAGTGAGGCAACAATCAAATTCATGTAGGCTAGTTTTAGTAGTAGGTTAATTTTCGGTTTTAGTGAATATTTATATAAAAATACAAGTTGAAACGCGTTACTTCCTTGTGGAATGTAATGTTAGTTATCTATTTTATGTTTGTCTGACGTATTGTTACACTCATTTACCGCACATTTCGTCATTATTAGCTAAAATTCTGGAGCTGCTCGCGGTGGAAGTTGACCTTCAGCACTGAAGGCCCGCCCGCTCGTGTAGGCCCTTTTGGCGCGCTTCAATTTGCCTCACTTAGCGTGTGCGGGCTAGGTTTCTATGCGTTATTATTCTAAGGTACAGGCCTTATTTATCGAAAATAATAACATCAAGCTTTAATGTGCTACCCAACCTACCATCCTTTTTCATGCAAATTTCATACCTCTTCCATAATCTGTAATTCTGCTTACCCACGTTGCATTGGACAAATGTGAAGGCAAAGCCATTAACACTAAAAAAAAATTAACCTAATCCTGTTGACAGTTGTCATTAGTGTCACGAGTGTCACTATAGGAATTGGTTTACTCTTTGGGAATTGGAAAAAAGAAATTACAAGAGAAACCATATTTTGTTCCACTGAACGGTGGTGAAATAAATATTGTTTTAATGAATTTAAAGCCAATTTTAAGTAAGTGTCGATAAACACTTCTATACCAGCTATAATGGGTATACAGAAAAAGAAAAACATGATAGTTATCACAGTTTGTACGATCTCCAGCTTCATTTTGTATCAGTTGTATTTCTTTTTCACTATTACGGCGGAGACCGGCGGCGGCGCCGAGGGTGTGTCCCACCAGAAGGTACTTTATGCCGCTTACGACGTGAACGGGAATAGAGTGTTACCAGTTCTAGACCCCAATGAGCTGAACATATACGATGTAGTACAATTACATTCTGATGCCGATAAGTACATTAACGAATTTGGATTTATTCGAGGAGTTTTGTTCTCGCACTTATTCTTGTACAGAACAGGAAAAAATGACTTTTTTAAATGTTTGAATTCGGAACAGACCATACCATACAGCCAGTTAAATGATGATTATTGCGACTGTAACGATGGTAGTGATGAACCAAGTACTGGTGCTTGCCCAAATAGCATTTTTTATTGCGATTTCCAGTATTTTAAGAAGCCGGTGCAATTGAATATGGTACCATCTGGTAAAATCAATGATGGTATCTGTGACTGCTGTGACGGATCTGATGAGTTTGACAGGCAATACAAGTCGATATTAACACAGTCTGTTAAAAACTCTAGGCATTATGCAGATTCATGCCTTAATACATGTTAGAAAGTATTTATTACGTTATTGTGAACAATATTTTATTGTAGTCTTAAATTTATTGAGTATCATGATATTTTACTACCATGGTATTAAATTATTTTTGTGAAATTACTCCACTAGTTTGTTATAATAATTACTAATACAAAGATCGTTCTTAAAGAAAAATTCCTTATCTGGCAGGATTTGAGCCAGTGTCCTTGCCATACTGTGACTGATGCTCTCCCAACTGAGCTATGGAACAAAAAAGCAGGCCCCACCAACTTCTCTATATGCTTGTTGCATCTATTGTTCCATAGCTCTGTTAAGACACCCCTTGTGATCCACTGTATGGCAAGGTCGCTGCTTTGAATCCAGCTGGATCAAATTACTTTAATATTTTATTGGCTTCAAAAGTATTGTCCTGAATATAGCATTTTTAAAATTATTACATGTTTTGTTGTGATATTTTGTAAATTGTTTATTTAAAAGACTTTTCAGAATGTACATGGACAAGTTTACTTATTGTTTCATTATTTTTTTTAATGTTTAAAAGTTTAATTATATTTGTTTCAATTGAAAATAACTGGTAATTTTTGAACTTTTATTCCAGCGTTTTATAAAAAAATCCACTATAAGCTAGTTTTGCACAGTATAGCACATGTACTAGCCTATCCTATATTCCATAGTTTTATTATTAAGAAGTTTTCATTGTAGCTATTTCAAGGCATATCTATGTGACAGTGTTTACTTAGGTGTTGTGGAGTTAATGGATCTACATTATATAATAAACATCATTGTTTTTCATATACTAGTGTTGTAGTAAATGATTTTTTACATAGTCATTATAATTTGAAGACCTCTGTGAGCGCTAAATGAGGAGGTCTCATGTTCTATTTCTGGTAGAAGGCATTTGGAAAACTAACTTTTCTGAATCACTTCTGATCTGGGTCTTTGGAGTAGTGCCCCAGAATTCACTTGTTTGCTCTGGTACTCATAGGTCTATTCTTTAGTTTGAGACCAGAAAATTTGTGTGATTGTCTGAAACATTAAGTATATTGATATTTAGGGGCGTATTCCAGAACTCTACTTTGATTTTGATTTGATTCAGTATGCATTCAATACTTTTCAGTCAAGTTTTTTTATATGTCTAAAGTTACGTTTATAATTATTTGTAAGATGTACAATCCATAGTTGTGTAGCTTTGTTTGTATATAATGCTTATGTTTATTTTTTCTATTACATCTTGATATATCATGTTTGAACTTTTTTGTGAAAATTATGTTTTTTTTGAAGGAGCCTATTTATACTTTACATATGCTTTTGGATTACGATGAACTTGGCCATTCAAATCATAGTTATTAATATCATTATTATGATTGTATAATTTTAGTGCTGTAAATTATGCTTAAATAATATTTTATGAAGACTGATTTTATTGTATTAGTTATCGTAAAAATAAGCAATGTAATAAAATTATGGTGAATAAGTACTTTGTCTCTTTTCAATGTCAGGTAGTTTTGCCTTGATAAGATTGAAGATAAAAAACATTTTGTTTTTTATTCTTATCTTGATCCTGCCGAATAACTATCGTCACAGAATCGATGTATTGTACAATTTTCTATTAATGTGCCTTTTTTGATGGTGACATTCCTTAAAACATACAGGCTAGCTTAGAAGAGATTTCAAATCAAAATTTTTGGAAGAAATATTTCTGATTGATTTGACTCTTCATTGGGATCTGGCAACTATTTGTTTTTTTTAAAGTCCTCTTTACATCATATTTGTGAGGAATGCGCCTTGTCATAAAATGAGTCAGCACTTTTCAAAGGATATAAAAAAAATTAACTACATTTCGAAAATGAACTTTTAAGTTAATTCTTTACATAATAAGACTATGGTACTTTAACTATTAAGGGAATGAACTGAAGGGGAGAAGCGATTGTCGATTGTCGATTGATAGTCGTTCAGTTCAGTAGGTGGTAAATAATTTTAAAATTCTGTTAACGAGGTATGTAACCTACATTTCTCGGAAACATAATGCTATAATCTCAGTACAAAGTGTAAAAAAAGTCATTCATCCCCTAGTTTGCCACCCTTATAGGTGGAATATTTTATTCAAATTTAAATGGGATCACAACTGAGGTACCTTCTTTCCAACAAAAAAAGAATCATCAAAATCGGTTTCACAAATTTTATCGCGTAACATACATAAAAAAAACAGTGGAATTGAGAACTTCCTCCTCTTTTGTGTTGGTTAAATATAACTTGAAAATTCTTTTACCTTATTAGGTATTAGAAGATATAAAAGATATTTCTTTTATCATATAAGTGTAAGTATTATGTTTACTTCAATATTTAATTACGACTTTTTGAAGGTATACTTAGCGAGTTTTATATATAAAAAAAGAGTTGAAGTTGTTTTGAATATTTTGAATTTATCAAATAAAATTGTTGTAAAACTTTTGAACTGTCAATTTCCGGACCCCATTGAAGAGAATCAAATCGGTAAGAAAATTCGGAAATACTTTTTTTCTAGCTTCGTTTTGACCACGTTTTCGCCTTGACCTTTATGACAATCACTTCAGGGGCCAAATATAGAATATTACGTAGGGGCTAGTACTTATACTCATCTATGGTATGTATATTATAAAACGTCTTCTGCGTTATACGGAATACAATCATTTAGGATCCATAGAATGTAACTGAACAACTAGCAATCGAATGATTGAATATTACAAAAGATTTAGAGGATAATCATAGATCGCAAAGCTTAAAATTTCTGCGACTATTACCTACTCTTGGAATCGGCGACGACGTCCTAAAAATACATTGTTGTTGCGTTTGTATCATATAAGATGGAAAAAATTTGTATAGAAATTACTATTATTTTGTTCCTGCTTGTCACAATATGTCAGCATAGCGGTTATTTTACGATCTTGGTTTGGTATATAAGCACATCTCGATCGAATCAATATGATTCGAACAGCACCTGTGACTCAATTAAGGTCTATCCACACATATCTGGGATGTGCCCGGGCCGTGCTTCGTCAGGGGCTTAAAAAAATATCGTTGCGTATATTTTGTATGAACACGTTCACACATGTCGTTGTCCGGGCCGATACAAACTAGCACGCCCCGTCCACGTCCCGGGCTCGGCCCTGGGGTCTATATGGGGTCTACTCTCGATCTCCGTCTGACATCCGTCCGAAACAATTAATAAGTAATACTTGACCAAATGAAAAGACGCGTGATGCGAATGAAGCTTCATACTGGATACTTGTCTTTTGATTTTGTCGAATATTACTTAGTTGACAGTAATTGTTTCGGACGGAGATCGAGATTACCCCCACTGAGGTGTATGAATAGTTCTTTATTCTTCTTGTTGTTGGTGTTGTCAATTAGTGTCTAATATGAGCGTCTAGATAACCTGGATCATTTAGAGTTTCATGGGTCATGGGCGCAATATTCGACTTTAGTCTTATAATTTTAGAGATTATTTAACAATTCACCTGACACTCAGTCTGGAACGGACAATATTATTGTTGTCTCGTTTATACGGTTTGCCTTTCGTTAGTTCGAACTAAAAAGTCAAGCAATCGATCAGCGAGTTAACGAGTTAGTGGATTAACGGATCAATGAGTTTAGCAATCAATGCATCAACGGCCCATTCACTACCTGCTTGGCAGTCCGCCGTGCAGGCAAAAGACTGGTCACACACTATTCTGCATATGGCCCTCGTACGGAGTCTCGCAGGACGCTGCGACTACATTCATAATCCTGCATTACGTGGCGGACGGCAAGCAGACTGCAATTCAGGATAATTAATGCTCCCTTTTATCTTAGTATCTCATAATAGTTTGTGATCCTTATTGCTCCGTGGCGTAATGTCCATTACATAGTAATTTTATAAGTTTTTAATCTGTTTTTCGGTATGTTGTGATTATTTAAGAGTGCACTAACTAATAATAGATTAGTAATTTTGAATGCTCATAATTTTTTTGGTCTGTATTTTTGATTTGTAGGAGTTATGTTTGTTACTTGTGATTTAACTTTGTAAACATTACCCATCAGCAGGAAAGAATAAAAGCTAATTGTATAATTAGAATTTTAAAACGCCAGGGAAGTATCGTGAGTGACGACTGACCCGATAAACCGCTAAACGATCGCACATGAATGTTCAATCATTTGACCAGGATTCCATTCCGCAGGATCATGATTGACCCGGGTTATCGGAATGATCTATGAAACAGGTCTACTCTACTCTGGTATTTTCTTTTTCGCTCTAGCACGCTATATCTATAATGACGAAAGAGACAGCAATACGTTTCGTTTTTTTTTAAGTGTCGTTCGTCAATTCTAGTGTTGGGAGGACATGAAATTAAAATGAGTTTGAGGGAGTAACTCATTTGAAAAAATGAGGCGGTACAGTGTCCTGCTTCACATGAGGTGAGGTAGTGGCAACAATGTTTACACCTACGGCAATGACTCAACAGACGGGATAGGTTTAATATTTAAGCACATTTTCATAACTTTATGATATCAATAATTTGGATAACTTAAGTGTTTTGATATAGTATAATTAAATACTACTTTTATTTAGTACTGATGATCATAGATGTAAAATCAGCTACAAAGCGGGCAGTGCAAGACCAATTAATGTTGCATTTGTTGAATTCGAAGCAGTGCGACATGAGGTGAGGTGTGAGGTGGGATATTTTTATGACATGAGGTGTTGTGACAAACTAACCAAGCGAGTGGTACAAACGAGTTACCTCGTGCATGAGTAACTCAACACTAGTCAGTTCATTTCGCTCGTGAACTCGATGCAAGCCCGCGTGATTTCTAGTAAATACTTTCTGTACGAATCAACGTGCTTATAGCGCTAATTTCTGTTCCATTTTGCGGAGTAATTAACTTTCGAGCCATAATGACCGTGGATGAAGGTGTTGATATCACGAAGGAGCAGGACCGCGGTGTTTTGAAGAGAATAATCAAGGAGGGCGAAGGCACTGATACTCCTAACACTGGATGCCAGGTGACGGTGCACTACACCGGTACCCTTCTGGACGGCACCAAGTTCGACTCCAGTAAGGACAGGGATGAGCCGTTTGAATTCCCACTTGGCAAAGGTTGGTGTTGTCAAAACTATTGGAATAATTTTTGTAACCTCCAATTACGGGGCCGTTAAAATGTTACCGGTACATTATTTTCATGTAGATTCGGGTCTATTTGCTTGGTAGGAAGACTAAACGGACATAGTTATGCAAACTAGAACCAACCCACAAAATGTCACATTCGAGATAATTAGATTTTTGTAAAAACAGTGTGAAGAAATAAATAGGTAACTTATTTGAGACAAATAACTTGAGTTATGTGTAGCATTGCGAATGATATGGGGAAATTATTATATTATATAGCAATAAATAGAAAACATTATGTATCTTTTTATTTAGTTAACGAGAAACATGTTCTAGTTTTTGTAATGAAAATGCTAAAGATCTACAGTATTTCAGTTCATGAAACAGGCATCGAGGAAATACTTCGACTCTGCTCCTCACCACCCCAACCCCGTCGTGGTGGCTGCATCCTCTTACGACCTCCTCAGGGAACAACCCCACCGCGTAAACAGGACCCGTCGGCCAAGGGAAGTCCTCAACGACCCTGACGACCTTATCACTCTCGCCACTTTGAAGGCCACCAGATCGCTAGTCAGTCCCGTCCCTCACGCACCAACCGTCGAGGTCGTAGAGCCCCCTCATTTCAGCACATACGCTGGTAGATTCTCTCCTACTGCACGCCCTTCTGGCGGAAGTCTCCAGTAGCGCCCTGAGCCGAGGTCCATGCCCACTTGAGCGCCCTCAGGCCCGCTACTTAGCTTTAAGTTTATTTTAGGGCTTATGAGCCTTCAGCTCGCTCTTTTCTCCAGTGGCGCAGTCAAGGCCACCAGCGGACAACTGCAAAATATCCTTAAAAAAAAAGTATTTCAGTACATGTGACATGGATCCATTTAGCATATTTAAAAAAATGCATTATATGAAGTTAAGCAGCATGGTTTTTTTTAACTATTAAAAAGTTTCTCATTTAGGGTAGGTACTCTGAAGGACTTTTATTTTCTCTGTTTTAGCTTGGTATATTGCCTGGATCTTTTGTGAGTGGGTAAAAAACATGTTTGGAGTTCTACCTAAATACAATAACTCAATTTCACTCAAGGTGTGGGTTGGTTCTTGTTTACATAATTATGTCCAAGTAAATAACCAACATCATTCATTTAAATCAAAGGTTTCCAAAAATTTTTGGCTTACCACCCACATTTTTTTAAAATTATTATTAGGGTGGCTTCCTTTGGGGCCTATGGTTATTAAATGATCTATTGTGATCACCACTCATTACAGTTTGGAGCTAAGACCAACAGCATTAAGGAACTGAAGGACATTCCTGGCTCTGACAGTTTTTATGTCCTCTGGGTGCGGCCTGTGCCTACGCAATATGGAAATATGTTACGCCCATTAGAGGGCAGCACTGGGTGAGGAGATGCACAGGAGTTTCATCTGCCTTGTAGCAGAATCTACATTCTCTGTTTTCTCTTTGTCCAATACTTGATATGTGCTTGTTCAAGCCACAAAACCCTGCTAAGGCCTAGTCGAGTTCTTCAATAGACACAGAAGTTATTTAAATAACAGCATATAGGAGGCAAATGCACACGGCATGTATAAAATCAAATGCAAATGGAATTCATTGGATATTGACCGGTATTGGAGGTCACATACTGCTTTAATACGCAGTCTGTATGTCAAAATGTAAATCAGTCTTTACAGTCAAGTTAAATTTTAAGTTTAATGAAGTTCTCACTACCTGTTAAAAACAAATAGGTAAATTTTGTATCCGGAAGTAGTGGTATTGACTTTTGAATTCATACATAGTCATTGGTAATTTTATTCTAATGGATTCATTTAAAGTGATTTTTTAAATTAATTTGTATTAAGGCCAGGAACACGTGTAAAGACTGGCTGTGTAAAAAATTTCTTTTCGAGATGACAGACTCATAATGAGATTACAGAATTTTAGCATGTTTCTCATAACAATATTTGACAGCTCTACCTGCCATACGTCCTTAACTACTTAATGGTCTAATTCCATCTTATGAAGTCAATCCAATTTGGTTGTAAATGGTCGTAGCTATTTTTATTAATTGTTATAATATGTATATTTCGTGGAAGAAAAATTATGAAAATGCTCCTCCTGGCTATCCATGCAAAATTTAGTTGTTCGCCAAAAAGGTAGCAGTAGAGCTCCTTGTGAAAGATTTGTCCAGGGAAGCACTGCCACCTTACCTATTTCTGCTGCCAAGCAGCAATGTGAGCATTACTGCATTCCTGTTTTGAAGGGTAAGGGTACTTGTGAAATTACAGGCACTTGGGACTTGCCAACTTATGTCTCAGGGTGACTGGCACAGTGGCAGTGCTCCTCAGATCATGTGGCATGGCCATTGGTATGGATAGGCGTGTAGCTTACCACCAGGTACACGACTTGGTCGTCCCGTTACTTGATATGGAATTACATATAATTACCAAGTTTTATGGAAATCGGTTACCGGAAAGTGTGCAAACCCGGATTCATCCCCTAGTTCGCCTATACGGGACTTGACACAGGAGATAATAAAAATCTGTTCTCAAACTCGATACCGATGTTTAAAGTATCTTCCGAGAGAAAAACGCCTTGAATTGGAGAATAGCAGTATCAACCATTAAAATAATTGCTTCGTTTACATTTAGGCGCTATTTATAAAAATGAATCTTCATGCGTGCACAGCCACCCTTAGAGGTGAATGATTTTCTTCAAAATTAAATGGGATCACTATGGAGGTACCCTGTTTCCAACAAAAAAGAATCATGAAAATCGGTTCACAAATACCGGAGTTATCGCGTAACATACAAAAAAAACATGCAGTCGAATTGAGAACCTCCTCCTTTTTTGAAGTTGGCTAAAAAAAGAAAAATATGAACTAGAACGTATAAATTAGTTTTCTTTATCCGTCTTGTAAACTTGTTAGTTTGGTATTTACGCGAAGATGATCAGAACTAAGTCCAAAGTCAAAACTGGGTTGTGTTACTTAACTTAAAATTTTGTAATATAGTTTGGCAGCCATGTCAGAACTTTTCAGTAAGACTCTTAAAACCAATAAAACATATTGAACTGCTTCACTAACACATAGATCTTTAATTCCATAGGGCAAGTGATAAAAGCATGGGATATCGGCGTGGCGACAATGAAGAAAGGCGAGGTGTGTGTGCTTACTTGCGCTCCTGAATACGCATATGGAGCAGCTGGAAGTCCACCCAAAATCCCGCCCAACTCCACGCTGCAGTTTGAAGTTAGTACCGTCATATTAATATTAAGTATTTGCATGTGTTACGAATTTCGATTATTATTTCAAAGATTTGAAAGCGTGTATTAGATGTTAACATTTACTAATTAGTACTAACTTTGTATACATGTCTGTGAACTACTGTATGAACTGCCCATGTAAATTTACATACTATGAAATAATTGACTGTAGTCTGTATTGTATGCCTGCATAAATATATATATGGCAATCTTAGGAGCAAAATACCACTCGGCCACTCTTGGCTGAATTTTGGTCGAAATTTCGATACGGCAAAATGGCAACTGCCTAAAGAAATAGGGCCACCATGTAATTTGAAAGCATTTGAAAGTCAAGTCTTGATCGCGTATATTTGTTTTTTGAAGCAAACCATCGATACGGGCTCTTTATTGGCCCCATGGTCACGTCACGAGTGACGACTAGATCCAAAAAAATATTCCAATGTGTAATATTCGCGAAACTCTAACGCCCACTTGCACTAAATTTAAGTAAGTCTTAAACCAATTCTTAAATTGATAAGACAGTTAACACAATGCATTAAGAGTGTCTTTTGCAGTGCAAGCATTGGTTTAAGACATACTAAGTTTATTTGATTTTTAGTTCGGCACTTAATCGTGTATTAAACATATTTTAATTAAAAAATCAAATAATTTGTGAAAATCGTGAAAGTTTGAATCAAAATACAGTTTAGTGCAAGTGGACATAAAAACTCGATCGTCAGTCTTGATGTTCAGTTCGCAGTGAAATATAAAATTTTATCCGTTTCCGACACCCATCCTCTGGAGCGCAAATTGTGATGGATGAGTCTTGGACATTTATACGATTTAATAGAAAAGCATTTCAAGTTATTCAAATATAAGGCATTGCATAAATCGACGTTTACAACAACAAGTAGACTTAATTTACAGCTTAGAAGAGATTTTTTAAAATAATATTAAGTGACGGGACGAACAAGTCGTGCTCCTAAGCCATACGCTTTTCCGTAACGGTTGCAGTGCCACTCAGAGCTTTAAATCTTAAAGATCTGAGAGGCACTGCCCTCTGCGCCTGTCACCCGGAGACATAAGTTGACAAGTCCCACGTGATATAGAACATGAGAGATTTAATCAATATTGTAAGGTACTTTCATTCATGGTAAACTATTCATTATGTCCATGACATCCCTAAACACTGCATGAACAATACTTCGCCATCTGTCACATCGTTTTTTACCACCAAATTATCAACACTGATTTAAACTGAATTTCGAAACAACTTTGTTATCACTAACAGGATGTGGTACAAATTTACATACACTAACCATGCCATATAGATAATGACCAAAATATATCTGACCACAGGTTGAAATGATTGACTGGAAAGTGGAGGACCTAAGCCCGAATAAAAACAAAGGTATTCTGCGTCATATCATTGAGCAAGGATCCGGGTTTGACAGTCCGAACGATGGTGCACTTGTTACAGGTACGATTTATCTTAAATATTCGACAAACTCAATACAATCAGTGTTTAATTTCGTCTCAATCATTTGCAGGGTTGCCAGTTTTTGTAAAATTTTAAATAGTCACGTTGTTGTCGACAATTTTATCGATAGACGTGAAAGTAGGTAAAATTTTGACAAAAGTATCTGAATTGTGAATGTTACGACGCGTTCTAATGATTACTAATTGCGTTATTGTATTCTTTATTCTTATTTTGACAAGTAGACTGTGCCATTGACATGTGTGTGTCCGTGGCACCCGCGACACAGGCTTTCCCTAGTGCGGGGCTAAGTTGAGTGTGTGCGTTATTATTATATATTATATGTATGTAGGAATTTTCGGAAATGAGGTTCTTACCTGTGCCCAGCAGTTGTATGAATAATAGGCCGATGATGATTCAGATGAAACGTTTTTTTTATGTGATGCCAAGTGGCGAGACGAAGCAAGCAAGCAAGGCAAGTCGTGCACCTGTTGGTAAGCGACACGTCTGTCCGTAACAGTTGCAGTGCCACTCAGAGCTTTAAGTCGCAAAGATTAGAGGGGCGCTGCCACTGCGCTCGTCACCCGGAGACATAAGTTGACAAGTCCCATGTGCCTGTAATTTGACCAACACCCTTACCCTTCAAAACCGAAACGCAGTAATGTTCCCATTACTGCTTAGCGGCAGAAAAAGGTATGGTGGCAGTACTTCTCTGGACGAATTCTTTCTACTGCTATTAAAAAGTTCGGCGATTTATTCATAAGCGTAACCAACATTCAGTCGTTAGGTTAGGTCGATATAATATTTATCGACTGTCAAATCACTAGCTGCTTGCAAGCGGGCAACACTTTTGCGCAATAAACTGTCATTTTACTCCATCTTCAAAAAAGACAGACTATACGTTTATATCTCTCGTGAGTTTGGGTGTAATTTGTGGTGTTCTATGTGTGTGTCCATGGCACCCGCGACACAGGGTTTCCCTAACACAGGGTTGTGAGGGCGTGCGTTATTATTATTATTCATTGAAGACCTACAATTGCTGAACCTTTTTTGCTTCTTCCTTTCACGTTAGTTTTTTAACTGCTATCCAAGGTTCTCACGGGTTTTTGTGGTTTAAACAACCGCATGTCCAATTTTAGGAGAGCAGATAGGTACTGTAGATTCTGCCATGAAGTGGATGAAAGTCCTCTATACCTTATTATAATAAGACGAATATGACAGCGTGCCTTGTAAGTGTACACGCCTACCGCGCGCAGACGCACATATTCGCATAATCTCGCGGTGCACTAGGGTTGCATAGCGCGGATCATCCGAAGCGTCAATAAATTAAAGAAATAAGAGACGAGTTTATTGTATTTTTTGTGGTAGTTTGACCAAGAGTGCCTCAAATTCAGAATTGTTCAACATCCCATTTCTATTTTCATAATCACACTCCATCATGAAGATACCAACCCGCGATAACAGAGGTTATTTCGATTTAGTACGAGAATACTGTGATGAATAACGTAATTTTTTCAAATACAAACTATAGATACAACTAAAATAATAATGTAACAACCCTACACTCCGAACGAAGTGTAGGTATTTACTTGCCGAGCAGGCGGGATTCGGTGTGCCTTCCCATTATGTCGTAATGTTTTATTTATCGTTGGACGACTGTCACGCTTAGCCTGTTCCCATACCACGACTATCTGTCGTGACTGTCGTAGACGTTTATTTTATTGTTGAACGACTGTCGTGTTTAGCTGTTCCCACTAGATCGTGACGACAATTTGTCGGTTCACGGCAGTAGCCTTGGGCCTTACCATGTACTCTTATTACGATTAAGTTTGGGACCTAAAATAAATCGTTGTGAGACAGCGCTATATGAAGTGTATATCATCATCCCGCTTTTTTGTCGTTACGAACCTATAATGAACTGACTGTTGATTGCATGCCAGAATCGTTTGAAGCTGCGATTATCACACACACGTAAAGTTTTATTTATCGTCGAACGACTGTCGTTTTAGCTCTTCCCATTGTCACGACAATCTGTCGTAGCGTCAAAAAAGTCGTTAAACGTTACAACGACAGTTAATCGTGTTGTTTTATGTGTGAACAACTTCAGTTAAATATACAAGTCACGACATTTAAACTGCACGACTATTTTGTCGTTACGACATAATGGGAACGCGCCCTAAGCAGTATCAAAAAAAGCTTAAAAGTATATGTACAAGGTCAAGTGCACGTCAAGTTGTAAAACTTGACGTGCCACTTAAGACTTGAATCCAACTCTTTGCCGCTTATGATAAGAACGGTCCAAAGTATAAAGTGTCAAGCTTGACGTGCTCTTGACTGTACTTTTAAGCATTTTTTGGGACTGGTTACACTGACTCCCGCCTGTTCACAACTTACGTAATATGCTATAATATTTAAAATAATATATTTCACTTCTTTATCTCTTCTTATCTGAAATTGCACTGTATTTTATTTTATGTACGAAATAAAATTACTTATACCATGAACCAGTAACTCAAGAAGACTGCTAATCTCTGTAATTATTATATCGTAACTTTGAAAAAGGTCAAAATTCCGGCTAAATCTAGATAGTGCTGATCTAGAATGAATCTGAATAGTGTGGAAGTAGTTTATAATTTGTAGCAGTAGAGCTCCTTGTGCAAGAGTTCGTTCAACGTTTCCGCCGCCAAGTAGTAATGTGAGCATTACTGCGTTCCGGTTAGAAGGGTAAGGGTGCTGGTGAAATTACAGGCACATGGGACTTGTCAACTTGTGTCTCAGGGTGATGGGCGCAGTGGCAATGCCTTTCGGATCTTTGCGATTTAAAACTCTTAAAGTACCGGCACGCTATGATGGCCGTTTTGACGTTTGTCCACTCTACAAGTTTCGTATTAATTCATAACTAGGTTGAAAGAGCTAATGGGCATTGTTTTGTTTTTTCAAACTCTCTATTTGAAAATCCATTTCGAGGAATAAGGTTGCTGATTAATATTTTCTATGTATTTGTTAATATTACGTTGAGATTTTTGATATTAAAAAAAAAATAGTATTGATCTTTATTTGACTTTCAATGACGTCGTCAGTGGCTCTATAATGTTTTGTCCGGGCGTAATGCAAAGCAAAAACGCAAAAAATTTTAATGTCACTTCACGCTTGTAAACATAACCTTACTATCTTTGCAATCGTCGCGCAAAACGACGGAGCCATAGATACAAAAGTTGAAGTTGAACTTTTAATTTCGCTGCCGGGAGACAAAATATCAAATATAACACAGCCATGGAATACAACAAAATATCTAATATAACACAGCTATGGAATACAGAAAGTGGTTTATTCATACCTACGAGAATGGTTCAATAAATAACCCAAACAAGATCCTTTGTTCATATTAGAGAAAAATTGCAATACTTCAAAGTTCACTATTTATTGTTGTGAAGATTACTTTGAAGTAAGTTGATAAACCTCTATAAAACAACACTGTCTTTCTTTTCACTGTTAGTACTACTGTGAAATTTCCGAGGTAATATTATTCTATTAGTTTTGTAGCCGACCGGAGATTTGGTGAACTGTTTCAAAGTGAAAATTATGAAATATGAGCAAATCTCAAACGCTCAGTCAAGCTGCGCAATATCAGTATATTAAATGAAGTATGAATTCAACAGTTTGATTTGTATAATTGTAAATTTACCTATTCTATACTATATAAAGCTAATAATATGTTTCCAGCATCCAAGTGAATCAAAAGACAGTGAATTACAAAAACTGCTATTCCAACCTAGTACCAGCATAACAGCAAAAAAAGAAAACATGGAGAGTTTGTGTAGTCCATACGTCTCCGACTTGCACATTACTTGTAAAGTTTATTTAGTTGTATAATTCTTGTGCTATGAACCATTCTTATAACAAAAATCTTGTTGGTTGCATTAAGAAGTATCCAATCTACTTTTTAGATACATACTGCAAAACAGTGTGAAGTAAAAATAGTTGACAAGAGTACAAAGTATAGACTAAAGGAAAGAACAAGTGCCAGGACAACAGATGAAATACTTTCTTCTCGAGAAGTTTTTTCAACAGCTACTTGCTTCTCTGTGTTAATTAAATTTTTATTGAATTGATATTCAATTATTTTTTGTGAAATTACTCCACTAGTTTGTTATAATTATTAATACAAAGATCGAACACTCAGAAAAAACACTCAGAAAAAATTCCCTCGATCCGGTCGGATTCGAACCGACGTCTTCTTGCATACCGTGCCAGACGCTATACCAACTAAGCCACGTAACGAAAGGACAAGGACTGGTAGCTGTAAAGGTACTAACTGGGTGATAAATCTGTAATAGATTTCTCATAGATGGCGCTACGACTAAAAAGTCGTTGAAAGACCAAGTACAAAGACACGACGCAAGCACATAGAGAAATTCGTGAGGTCCGTTGGTTCGTTCCGTGGCTTAGTTGGTATAGCGTCTGGCACGGTATGCAAGAAGACGTCGGTTAGAATCCGACCGGATCGAAGGAATTTTTTCTGAGTGATTTTTCTGAGTGTTCGATCTTTGTATTAATAATTATAACAATACTTGCTTCTCTGTTTGGTTCTACATCCGAAATGGAAAAATGAACTTTACTATGGACAAGGCAAAAACAGTGTTAAAAAGTAGAAAACATATTGTTAGTTAGTAGTTATCTTGATTTATTGTTCCATACTTCTACTAAAAACTTTTCTCTAAGTCTTTTTGGTAGATAATGCGCTGACCTACAAACTTGTCAATATTATAATTGTTGTAATTTCAACTCATACTGTTTTAATTCTTAGAGCCTTATTCACTGTTCTGATAGAATAATACGTTATAAATGTAATGTGAAACCGCACTTTCACGTAGCAGCACTGCTACGCGATCGTAGCGTTTGTATGGAATTAATACAATGGGATGTAATAGGATATGAGAAATGTGAAAGTAGTATATTCCTTATGGTATGTTACGGAGTAGGTCAGGTAACACTTTAAAAGGGAAAGCCGAAAATTATTATTTGGTAAAATAAGCGGGTGACGGGCGCAGTGGCACAGCAACTGTTATGGATAGGCGTGTGGCTTACCATCAGGCGTGCGGTTTGTTCGTCCAGTCACTAGATATTATAAAAAATATCTAGAAGTACGAATGTCGACAGTAAAACGCATTGTTTGTAAAATTCCATAATATTCCTTTAATTTAAATACTTATCATTGGCCCTTTGGATCAGCATCATAAAAATGCATGGCTTTTTTAAATACTTTCGTTGTAAAATACATTTCAACAAAATACGTTTTTTTTAATGTACTGACATGTATTATGTTATGTGACAATTCTACTACGCGGACGGCACAGCGCTATTGACGTATCGAACCGAATTTCCCTGCCCCGTCCTATTATCTTGCCCATTGACTTACAATTATATGGACGTCGGGTCCGCGCTAAAAAGTGTCCGAACTTATAGGGCGTTAAAATCGTATACAGAGCGTCATTCACGCTTCAGTCTTCGTTTGTTTCTTCTGACAGCGAAGCAAGCAAAATTAGACAGTACTGCGATGACATTACAATTTAAATTCAACGTTTTAGCTTTTTCATATTCCTTTACATGTCACTACGTTTAAATAGGTTGACTTGGGACATTTTTTTCGTGGTTTTTGTATTAGACCCGTCGTCCATTTATTTGTAAGTCAATGATCTTGCCCTATTATTTTAAGTGTAAAGTATTTTGTAATGTGTATTTTTTTTAAATCTAATCAAAATTACGTATTTTGTATTTTTTATTTTAAATACACCTCATGAAAGTATTTTGTATTTCGTATTTTAAACACATGTAAGAAAGTATTTTGTAATTTATATTTGAATAAATACATAGCATGTATTTTGCCCAGCCCTGCAAATAACTTGGTCGGAGTTTATGCGAATTCAGAGTAATTCATGGTAATTTGATTATCTGCTACACTGAATTTCAAATTTTTTCCATGCTAATTAACTTTTTTTTGCAGTGGAGCTTGAGGGAAAACTTCTGTCAGACGGCAAAGTCTTCGATACAAGAACAGTAACATTTACCATTGGAGAAGGTAGCGAAAACAATATTTGCGAAGGCGTTGAACGCGCTTTAGAAAAGTTCCAAAAAGGTGAAAAAAGTCGACTAACCATCCAACCTAAATACGCCTTCAAGTCTGAAGGTAACGCTGAATTAGGAGTGCCACCAAATTCAGCGGTTGAATATGTTGTAACTCTCAAAAACTTCGAGAAAGCAAAAGAAATCTGGTCAATGGATGGTTCAGAAAAACTGGAACAGGCGAAGTTATTTAAGGAGAAAGGAACAAACTACTTCAAAGGTGGTAAAAACCAGCTGGCGATTAAAATGTACAAACGGGTCGTTTCGTTAGTTGATGGTAAGTCTACATTTATAATTATCAGGATAATAAGGCGCCATGCAACAACCACACCAAATACTTGATAGTTGAGTAGAACAGCAGTAGAGCTCCTTGTAAAAAAGTTCTTCGAAGGCAGTACTACCAGACTCAACTTATATTGCGGCGGAACGGAATACATACATAGCATAACATAGCACAATGATTTTTTACAATTATATGACTTGTTACCAATCGATAAATCAACGCTTGACCTTATATAATCAGAAATAGAGACGAAATAAGGGCCATCCACCACTGGCCACTCATTAGGCAAATGTGCCTTATATCACTTTTAAATATCAACTCTCGTTTGCGTTAAAATCACAAATTAGAAAACTGAAATAGTACAGCGCCAACAACTGACCTATGTGTACGTCTCCATATATTCCAAAAATATTCTGTATTTATTGTATTGAAGATAATATCTCTAACAATGGGGGGCTGTTCCAGTCGGTGGTGTGGGGTAAAACAGAAAAACATCTAATTACAATACAAACTGAATCACATTTCATAGGTAATTAAATATTAAATACGTAATTTTTAAATTTTCGTCCATTATAGCTAAGCTCGAAGTTAAACTAGTCGATTATGACCCCTGTCAATTGTTTCGAAGTCGGGCTGGCCAATTGGAGCGCAGTAATGATTTGGCAGAATAGTTTTCAAACAAATTAAATGACATTTCTCTATTTCTGGTTTATTATACTCGATGTATCAAACTAAGATCTCAGGACGAAAGGGGCAGTGGCAGTGCCCCATAGATTTTTGCGATTTAAAACTGCAGTGCAAGTGCAGTACATCAATAAGGTTAGCACGACAGGGCGCGACTTGCGCGAAAAACGATATAGAATAGCGAGATTGGTATGTCGTGAGCCGGTAGCACGACGTTGCTTGTCAAGTCGCACTTATATGTCTTTGTAACATTCGTCTGTCGATTTGCGAAAATTGAAAATCGCATTGAAATAAATCGATACAAAAAATCGTTAGATCATATGCACTTGGATCTATTTTCATAAAAATTAAATTGTAATAAGCATTCTTAGTAGTGACAATCCACAGAATTGCAAAGTGGAGTTGCCTCTTTTTCGTCTAAAAAAATTATTTTTACATCGAAATTTGCAATAAGTGTGGAATTATACCAAATGCCGTATTCGCCGTTTCCGCCCACGATTTTGGACAGAAATGGACTAAAACCCGCGTGTTTTAATTTGGTTTTAACCCACTGCCCATTTCTGGTAATATCACGACCTGTATACATAATGTTTTGTTTTACATCGGAAAGCCTGAAGACTAAATAACGTTCCAGATATGCCAGCAGACAACAGTGAGAGCGACGAGAACAAAAACCAAGCAAAGGAGTACCTTGTATCCACTCATTTGAATCTTGCTCTAGTATACTTAAAAGTGACACCTCCCCACCACTTCGAAGCTAGAGAGCATGCAAACAAAGCCCTTAAACACGATGATAATAACGTAAAAGGATTGTTTAGAAGAGGACAGGCGCTTTTAGGATTGGGAGAAGCACATGAAGCTATCAAAGACTTTCAGAAAATCGTAGATCTCGAGCCTGGCAATAAGGTATGAATTGGATTCGTATAATGTTTATTCTTATTCATGGACCAAAAAGTCGTTTAAAACCATAAACAAGGACGTGCAACAAGCACTTAGAAAAATTCGTAAGGTCCGCTAGTTCGTTCTGTGGCTTAGTTGGCATAGTGTCTGGCACGGTTTGCTGGAAGACGCTGGTTCGAATCCAGCCGCATTGAAGGAATTTTTACTTATTGTTCGATCTTTGTATTAATAATTATAATAAAATAGTGGAGAAATTTTACAAAAATAATTGAATATCGTGATGGTCAGACAGTTCATTGATATTGTTATATTAAGCAAAAACCCACTTCACAATAACAGGCTAAAGCTTTTGTATGCAAATTGCATGTCTGGGACCAAACAAAGCAGGCTTGCTTAGTGTGAGGACCATGGCGAATACGTATGTATAGGGTGTATATGAAATCAAAATATTCTACTAAATAAGTTTCGGAAATGAAATTACTATTTCGGATCTCAGTCGCGTATATGCGGTTATTTATAAAATACTAAGAAGGGTTAGGAAGTCCGAAATGACATTTTCCAGAAATAAGATTTGCTCGAATTTTCATAACTTCGAAAGTAATTTTGAGAGGAAAATGTTTTTTTCTTTTAACCCTAACTTCAGCTAACCTAAGCGAACTTAATCGTGTTATTGCAATAAACATCCAACATATCCTGAAAGGACAACGGTTCCGTTATAATTCGTTTTTCGGTGTAATGAAAATTCGAACATACGTTATTTCGGAAAAAAGAAATTCGACTTTGTGATAGGTTACCACTAAGAAACAGGACTGTATTACTGACATAAGCAAGAAAATTTGTTCCATGACTTTTAATAATACTTTTTAAATAACAATATTTAAATGTATCGCTCCCAATGGGTTCCCAAACTTTATAGCAATTTAAAAAATTTCTTCGCCCACCACATTGACCTGCCCACCATCACTACGAAAAATAATTGACATACGTATTTTTATATTAATTTAACACAAAAAAATCACAATAAAAATAAATATGTAGTATAGTTTAATTATAATAATTTTCAAATGCGGTAGGGAGCACTTTGGGAAACTATACTATAAACAGTCATAATTCTGTGCGGTTCGTTGCAAAACACAGGAGCGTGAATAAAATTTGCAACCTTACTATTAAACACAGATCTAAAAAGTGGCAGATAGCTTAAATGTGAAGTTTTCAAGTGTACATTTATTTTACTTAAGGAATAAATGATTGTTTGACTTTGAGTACAACAAAAACCTCATAATTTATTTTTGGAAAATTTATTATACCCAGTCAACCCGTGACCATGGAGCGTGCAACCGTTCCGAAATATCGGGAAAATAAAAATAAAAAGAAGTTATACCGTGGTAAGAAACCTGTTACTAGTGACAATCATTTAGTGAATAACCACGAAAGTCTTAAAATCTATATAATTTATTATATTTTGTAATAAGCAGTGATCGGAATCGAGAGAGTTAAGTTAGCTGAACTAAAGAATAATGTGGACATTCCCTTCTACAAATCCCGGGACTACTCGGAATTGTTCAGTCATGGCGCCTCATTACATTGATTTAACTGCCTCGGTGGCCGAACGGTTACTGCCACGCAGAGGTCCCAGGTTCGATTCCCGGGCCGGGAGAAATGTTTGTATGGCCTACATTTATATCTCTCGTGAGTTTGGCTGTAATTTGTGGTTGTCTATGTGTGTGTCCATGGCACCCGCGACACAGGGTTTGCCTAGTGCGGGCCTATGTAGAGTGTGTGCGTTATTTATTTTATTAATACGAGGAATAGAAATAAACTAGCTTTTCTTGATAGTCGTCTTCACAAAGTCAAAAAATCATTTAAGGGGCAATGTATACGCTTCTATAACAAGATTCCGGTTGATATACAAAATTTGCCTTACACGAGGTTTAAAACTATAGTGAAACAAAAACTTTATACTAAAGGTTATTATACAACTTCTGCGTACTTGGATGACAAAAATCCGTGGTAGTAACCCGTTTAGCTCATGGAGGTAGTCTCGATCTCTGATGTTTCAAATAATAAAAAAAAATATTGTAAATGTTATTTACAAAGAGCAACCCCTAGAGTTTCTTGCTCATTCTTCTCAGGGGAATCTGCCTTACGAATGAGCGGTAGAGTTTAATATTGTGACGATTTCAAGTGTAATAATGCTTACCTATGAAATAAAGATTACTTTGAATTTGAATTTGAATTTAAAAAAAAAATCTGTACATACATATATTACTCTGCAGTAAATAAATGAAGAAAACAATAACTGAATGAGTCTCAAACAAAAGTTTTTTAACTTGCCTACTTCGTTTCATCTTTCGGAAAATGATGATAAACAGCCGTGACCAGCACAATTCACGACCATTATAAATAGTAACGTAAAATGGTTTTATATTAACGTACAAGTTTCGTAATGAATAAATGAAAACTATATTCAAATATCAAAGCCGTCTTCGCGTGAAAACGGCTCGCCGGCAGCCTTGTTGTCGTTCAGTCAATGTGACCGGCAATGTGTGGGGCGTGGTGCGGTATCTAAAGCTAGGGAGGGACGGAGAGTGTCCGTTGTCTTTACTTTTTGTTCTCTGATAGTACGTTTCGGACTTTACAGGGGGTCTACACCCGTTCTAAGTCCGTCCATTACTGTCAAATAAGTAATACTCGACCAAATTGATTAAAAGCCGTATGATGCAAATGAAGCTTCACAATTGACATTGCCTTTTGATTTATCACGTATTATTTATTTAACAGTATTTTTTTTGACGGAATGTCGAACGAGCGTAGATCCACATGTTCCATAGTTACGGTTGAGAATGTTGGAAAAAAAAAACCGATTTAGATCCAAAACAATAGTTTCAGATCGCAACAATTGTAAGAACTAGATAAATAATTTATATGCTTTTGTTTTTTATGTTATCATCTGTAACTTTATAATTTTAACATTATATTATTATATAACGTAAACGTTAATCAGTTAAATTTGAACCCTTTTTTGTGACATTCTAAATTTATAAATGGCATTTGGACCTTAGGTTACGATTTCAATGTCCACAGGCAGCAGCGAACCAGATTATAGTATGTCGTACTACGATCCAGAAGCAAAAACAGAAAGAGAAGGCTATGTACGCGAACATGTTCGACAAGTTCGCTAAGAAGGACTCGGAGGTAACAGGTCGGCGTACATTACTGTACTCCACTCATTGCATTCTTTATTAGAGGTGCGCGTGTGCACACTCTGAACCCTGCTAAGTCTCATTTCATGACGTTGCTTTAATTTAGCATAATCAAATTCATTTGTCGTTATTAAAATGTGTATGACTAAATATTGAATTTGATACTTAGACCAACTTTCAAATTAAGAATAAAGAATACAATAACGCAGTTGAAGCATTGGGTGTAACAAGGGCGTATCACGTAAAAGTGAGATTCGAGAAAATTGAAAATAAATTTGTAATGTCTTATATCTTTTTTTTATAAATATTGTTTTGCTGTTTTGTTTTACATTCTCAACTGAGTACTCCCGTAGTCCAACTTACCGACACCGGTTAATGTCCTATTAGAGCTTAGCGAAAATTTTTTTTTGTTTCGTTTTTTTTTCTTTCAACTGTGACATTGGCAAAATCATCAGTTCTCATATTGATGGAGCCATAAAAATAAAAAGTGAGTGAATACAGACCCGGACACACAATTCGAGCCACCTTGCATTTTTCTCCCAAATAATATTTTATATAAAAATATAGTTAGCATCGAAGGAAAAGTTTTCTCCGATATTTTAAATTCAAAAATTCAAATTATATATATGTATATTTATAACATGACTCTTAAGTACTTTATTACTAACTGTCCTATGATTTAGCTAAAAGATTCAGATGTTATTATTATTATTTTAAAACAATTAGAAACATTTGGAAAAATTTTTTTTCGTTGTCAGATCCGCCCTTGTTGCACCAAACCGGTAATTGAATGGGGCGTTCGTTTTATCATTGGTTTTTAAAGAAATAAATTGTGAGTCAGTCTTATTTAAAAGTTACATTGAAACAAATTTAAACGTAATTTTAAGCATTCATTAAATTCGCTGGATTAAAATGAATCGAGAGTATCATCTTCAGCAGGTCTCCCTGACCTCCGAGAGGCTCCATGTTGAGGATGAAGTCGCTCGTATCAGACTTTTTTTTACGCCATCTTGAAGGGAGATCGAAATGACTTTTTGTCACAAGATACCAGATAGTGTTTTACATGTTTTGATGCAATAACATCAAAACGGGCTTTGCCCGGGCGGTGCCCAACGCCCTTATTGTTCCCGATGCTATAATTAGTAATCATTAGAACGCCGTAACATTCACAATTTATTGTCGATAACAACTACATGACTTTTTAAAATTTTACGAGAAGAATGTCATTTACTCCATCTTTAAAAAAGGAAGACTATACAAAATATGCTATGGTACAGCACCCCTAGCGGTCGCAAAGAGAAGTAATAATTGGTATACAAGAAATTTACTCAGTTGTTTCAACAGTTGTTACAACTTTCACTGTTAAGTCATATGATAAAAACAAAGATCATTAAAAAAGTACTTTTTCAAATTAACTAGGATTCATTGTTATCATTTTCTACATTGTTTATCTCATACCTTTCCTCCCATCACCATGACTAACGTGCGTGCTATCTTACAGTTGGAGAAGCAGCGAGCTAAAGAAGAAGTCGACGTCATAGGGGAGAAGGTCGGCGAGTGGGGGGCGGGGGAGGGGGAGTGGACCGACCAGCAAAGAGATCGTAAGCCGACGGAGTTCGAGAAGGAAAATCCAAACATACTCTTGCTTGACAAGGACGGACGATTTGAAAATATGTAACACGCTTGTTTATGCTCGTTCTATCAGTGGTCACTCGTTTTCCAAATATCTCGTTTAGTTATCTCATAAACAATGGTTAAAAGGGTGTTGCAAAAGAGACACAAAAAGTAGTTACATGGAATGGTTAATACTACCAAATGTTAATTTTTTCGAATACTTTTCGATTTGCTGTAAAGTATCTATACTTAGTTCTAATCCACTTTGAACAAATATTAAACAAAACTGATTAAATTTTAAAGCAATCACTCAATTCATCTAATAAGTAACACTTTCACGTATATTTCCAAGATTGCGACTTGATACCTCATCATTTTTTCCAAAAATATTCATCGTAATATATATATAATAGCATCGTAAAATCGTATTTGAAAAATGGTAGTCCAAATGTGAGGTTATTATATAAAACAAGCTATTGCTTGTAGGTCATTAAAAAATATTTACTTTGGTGAAACTCCAGTTGTATAATGCATTTTTTTTACATGACACCAGTAGAATTAGTATAAAATCCAACTTCAGTTTCCTAAATGAGTAATTTTATTTTACGATCTAGTAAAAGTGTTTCCGGAAATCCGAAATCTGAAAAACTAACTCGACTCATCCGAAGAACAAAGTCCGATGTGATTGTACAGCGAAAAGAGGTTAAAACATAATCTCGTTATTCAAAAGGCCAATCTAAGGGTGTTTTCAGATTTTATGCATTTATTATTTATTTCGTTTCGGAAATATAAAATCGAACAACAGTCGATCTTGACTGTGGATATCCGCAGTCAAAAACAACGAACGAAATGTACAATGTTCCGAGAATATGCAGCATCTTGCACATAGGTCTTTGTTCTACGGATGAGTCGAATTAATTAATATTTATTGGTTATAAAATATATTTAGATATTTTATTTGTAGATATTTATCTACTCATTGGAAACACCTTTTCCCGGCCATTTCTCATAAATGATATCTGATCAAAATATCTTAGACACAACATAACATTAACATTATTAGATCACCTTCCGATTCTGAAAAAGTATTTCTTGCGAAAAGTGGCCATCCATGGATGATCTAAGCCATCCATGAATTGCCTCAAAATTGGAGCAGCGACGCGATCTTTCTTTTTTTTTTGTTTAATGAAATTTAACCTTATCTTGTTGGAGATAAAGTTTACTCGATTTAATACCGCCAATTTGAGGTGACACTTGGTGTAAACAGCTGTCAATAGATCTTCTCAATGAAGTTGAAATTTTACATATTTCTAATATTTAGAAGTTTGTAGACGAAGTTTTTTATTTTTATTAGGAGTGTGATATTTCCTATATTTGCATTATTAACTACATCCACTACAGACTCATGGGTCTATTCTCGTTCTTCGTTCGACATCCGAAACAAAATTACTTTCAAATAAATAATACTCGAGGAAATAGACAATGCCAAGTACGAAGCTTCATTCGCATCAAGCGATTTTTAAGAGCTCTTATGCCAAAAAAGTTTTGACGTTGGCTCCGCCCAAATTTGTGAAACAAATATGTGCTTGAAGTTCTCGTGACATGCGACAGGAGATGTTGAATTTTGCGCATTAAAAGTACCAAATTCGTTTTAGCGGAATAACTCTAAAACTAAAGGGATTTAAAAAATCTGAAGTGACAGTTGTCGATCATGCATAAATATAATTAATTATCTAATTTTTGTCCTAATAACCTGTAGCATTTCGAGGATAAATCGAAAAAATGTGAAAATTAGACGTCATTTCGTGATTTTTATCCATCGACGAAAACTTTATTGTTTTATGTTTCTGATTAATGTCTATGCTTGAATATATCGTGTAGTTACTCATACAATATTTTATTTTTAACTTTAAAGTAGATATACCCGTCTAAAATCAAATCGAAGATTAGGAATTTTTCCTCTGCCCCCTCTTAATATCGTGTATTGAGTATTACTTCTTTGACTTAGTTGATGTTAGACGGAGAACGAGAGAACAGGGCCTGATACGCTCGAGTCCCTATCCAGTTCTGGGATACAGTGCGGTTTTACTACTTTAACGTAAATAGACGCTATGTCAACATTAGACGCTGCACAATATGGGCCAGTGCAAACCGGTAGATAGGAAAGTAGAAGACATGATAAGGAAGTACTGCCAGTTTACCTATTTCTGCCGCCAAGCATTAACGTCAACATTACAGCGTTCCGGTTTCGAAGGGCAAGGGTTCTGGTGAAATTACAGGCACATGTGACTTGTCACTTATGTCTCAGGGTGACGGGCGCAGTGCCCCTTAGATCTTTGTACTCCAAGGTCAGTATACAATGTACATGGTAAATTTAATGTGTCTTACCGTACGCCGCTGACCTCATAGCTCCTAGACGTGCTCACTACTAAAATTAATTGTTCCCTTTATGTGCAATTACTTTTCGTCGAATGATTTTTCATAGAATCTTGAAGACTTGTTATGCTATAAACGTAATGATCACGCTTTTTTCCCTTTACGTTAAATTTGATATATTACTGTCAAAACAAAAGTGAATAACGTGGAAGTTGAATAGGAAGATCTAACACACATAAAAATATCGTCAACCCGGTGGGACATGAACCCACATCTATGCTGCACCGTTCATTTCTTCAGCACCTTTACCAACTGAGCTAAGGGTCCAGTTACCGAGCCGTCGAAATTATCTTATGTGTGTTTTGTTATAAATCTTTGTACAGGCTTTCGGCATTCGTACCGCTTGTGACATCTAGTGAGAGATTTTTGAATAACTTTCTCATCGCAGTCCCACCGCGTCGACGAAATTTTTCTGTGAATTAATTCTTTGTATTCATAACCATAACAAAACTAGTGGAGTTATTTCATAAAAAATCTCAATAAATAACACGGAATGTTGAAAATTATTTTTATTTCGCATTGCGGGTATAATTAGGTTTTTTTTTATTCATAAAAATGTAAGTGCACATTTGATTTCCGTCTCACCTGATGGAAAGTGACGATGAGGTCGACGATGATGCATGCACACCTAAATAATGCGTATTAACTTTCGCCTTGAAAAGGTCCAAGTTATAACGTTCAGGGAACAAATCTGCTGGCAGGGAATTCCACTCCATAGCCGGTCGCCGTATAAATGTGGAAGCGTAATGCTTCGTACGAATCTTAGGAATATCCACAACATAGGGGTACCCAAGCCTACGTCTAGTCCCCCGGTGACGCAAAGGGGAAGGCGGAATTAAATAGTGAAATTCCATTTTCATCCAGGTTTGATTATCCGATTCAATTAGCTATGTGATTACCACAACTTGGTTAAATCACTTGTTTATTGTGTACACTTAGACAATTATTATGTAAGCAACTCAACTGCTTTTTTTTTCTACTGTACTATAGCATTTACAGAGAATAAAAAGAATCGGCGTAAAGGGAGGCGTTCCTTAAAATTATCATGTAATACAAAAATCGACTCTAAGTATGTACAGTGAGCGTCAAAATGATTTCATAGCAACACGTACAAAGTAGTCAATTTCTTTGCGGTAACTTCAGAGTGCTAAATTCGTCACAAAAATAATGTTATGGTACATTTGCACCAGAGCGACGAGTTTGTCGAACACGCGGTCAATCTATTCTATATTATTTGACGCACCCCTCAAACATGACCGCAGACGATCAAAGAATTTGCCAAACACGTACAATTTGACAAATTATTTGACAGTTGACGGGGCATTTACGGCAAGTCGACTCTGTCGCCTTTGGCAAGGCGAAGGCGGCAGATAACCCGGTGTAAATGAGCAATTATTGAAACTTTAAAAGATTTAACTTACGTTACATTTGTCAACATTTTTGCTTATCGTACAATTACCTGACAACTGCACTCGTACCCTAAGATGCTCTTGTATGCGATACTTCAAAGATTGTTAAAGCTCCATATAACTCTATTACTGTGTATAATTATTTCTTACTTGCTCCGTTTGCTTGTTATATTAGATTTAGCCTGCACGTGTTCAAATTGAATTTAAGTGTCACTTTGCTTAGCTTGTATTAATAATCTTAAATATAGGTATAAAAAGCATAATATTTTTTTCTGTAAGGCACTTCTCTCAAATAAAATTAAAGATTAAATATTTTGGAAAATATGTATAAAAAGCATAATAAATAATATAATGTCACATGGCGTCATTTATTTCTGTGACGAATAATTCTTCCAAGCGAGGCTATATTTAAAGCGTGAAACACATAGAGCGGGTGCCGGTCGGGCCCGGGTCGGGACCGCGGAGGGTCTAATAATATCATGGACGACAACACACCGAGCGCGGTCCCGACCCGACTCGCATCCGACCCGCACCCGACTCGCGCCTGCTTTCAATGTGTTTCATGCTCAAAAGAGAGCACATTAATAATAATTTAACATATAGGTATGAAAAGTTTATTTTATTTTCCCAAATAATCAAAGGATGAAATATGAATAATTCGAAATATAGATAACGCAAAGCACAATTCCGCTTGGCATAATCTATTTCTGTTTTTGTGAAATGAGACTATTATACGATAAAATATTTTAATAATTCGAAATGCATAATATAAACGGTAACATTTATTTATCTAGCGCATTTTTCCCTGAATTGAAGCCACGTTAAAAGTTTAAATCATTCCGCTCTTTAAGGCTGTGTCGGTCCACTGGTGTGTAATCGGGTAATTGTGTGAGCATAATATTGCTTTTACTGTCGTTCTTATTATGTATTGTACAAATGTATTCGTCCTACGAATGGAGTTAAAGTTAATAAAACGTTGATGTCATGATATTGTTTTATTTGTAACTTATTCAAGGTTCTTTATTCTCAAGGGCCTGTCACGTGCACTCGCTCGTTCATTTTGAAAGTGGTCGCGCCACACACTTAAGGCTCAATTTATATTGCTGCGGAACGGGATGGAAGCGAATTTTTGTAACGCTATTGTACATGGTCAAGAGCACGTGAAGCTTGACACTGAAGACTTAAATCCAATTTTATGCCGCTTACCATTCATTGACTTACAAATAAATGGACGACGGGTCTAATACAAAAACCACGAAAAAAATGTCCCAAGTCAACCTATTTAAACGTAGTGACATGTAAAGGAATATGAAAAAGCTAAAACGTTGAATTTAAATTGTAATGTCATCGCAGTACTGTCTAATTTTGCTTGCTTCGCTGTCAGTCGAACAAACGAAGACTAAAGCGTGAATGACGCTCTGTATACGATTTTAACGCCCTATAAGTTCGGACACTTTTTAGCGCGGACTCGACGTCCATATAATTATAAGACAATGCCGCTTACGATAAAAACGGTCCAAAGTGTCAAGCTTGACGTGCTCTTGACTGTACCTACATAGCATAATGAACTGTATGGTAAATTGTTCGCGCATTCCGCGGAAGATTATCTAGTTTGTACATACATTACACAATAGGTCATAAAGTTCAATATGCTATGTACAACATTGTTACAAAAAATCGCTTCCATTTCATTCCGCCGCAATATAAATTGAGCATAAGAGTCTACTACCTCGGCTCGAATTTAAACTTTTCCCATACTAATAAGGTTCATTTTGCTTGAGTCGAGCTGCAGGGACGCTGGCTTTTTTCAGAATTCATCTAATTTCGTTTAAAACCTATATTGGTGATGGTCCACCTCAGACGTTACTACATTTTGGATGCTGGCCGTTACAAATAATTATGATTTATAAAATAAAATGCATTCCTGACAATTTCTACAATTGACAATATATATATATATATATATATACACATTTTTTTTTTAATGTTTAGGTATTACGTGATATATTTCTTTAACGAAAACGTCCAGACACGCTTTGAACAGACCTTTATCAACGTAACAAAATTTAGAAACGGCAATATACTTACATGCAACAACAAAAAAACGACAAATTATAGAACTTTCTTTAAAAAATTAGTTACTGATTGACAAATGTTATTATAGCTTAAATGAATAGTATACTGAGATATACACAACACACTTATTTATAACTTGTATACGTTGGTTAAACTTGAGAAACAAAATAAAGACATTAAAGGAAAATAAAATAGTCTCTCACTAATCCTTTGTAAACTTATACTTAGTTATTATGAGGTCCGAAAATTTATAAGCGAGAATATACGATATTACCCTTTATTCTATAAAAGTTAAAATTTAAAGTTATTTCAGCCACAATAAAGGTTTTAGTGGTTAATATAAATTAAAATTATGTTATTTTTAAGTGTAGTTACTCCAGTGAACCAACCAGGTAGTCCACGGGCAAGAAGCGGTTTAGTACCTATACGTGTTCTATTTAGTTCTGTTGATATATAAAAAAAAATCATATATGTAAAGTACCTATTGAATACACGGTTTCTTGTAAAATTTCGAGGTAAGTTTGTGTTTTTTTCCTAACGTGAAAATTTTTAGGAATTTTGTTTTCATACCGATTGATTCGATACTTTCACTGTGATGTGGAATCACAGACAAGCCTTTGAGGTAGTATACACTCTT